CGTGCCCTTCAGCTGCCACCAGTTGATTTCATCAACAGTACCTATTATTAATAATAGATGTCCAGACAATATGTCATTTAAAAAGAACCCAATAGAAATTGTTTATTGATACTGGTGTTGACAGAACAAGCAATATTGTTAACTCTTAAACATTCTTCTTCATTCACCCTCAACCACCATTCTCCCACCCAAACTCCAAAACTCTCAACTTTCTAACTCTCTATCTCAAAAACCCCATCTCTGACTATCTCCTCTCCTCCCCCTCTTCCTCCTGCAGAGTCTCTTATACCTCATGACTCCACCCCTCCAGCACTCCCATTGGTCTATGCAGATTGAATATGAATATTCATGACCTGGGCGAACGCCACAGAAGTAAAGCTGGAGAAGGGCTGCTTAGCTGACCAAGAGTTTTTTTCTTTCCTCCAGGGATCTGTTGGCCTCTTTCTTGGTCCTCTTGCTTGATAAACCGCAAGGAGCCCTGAAAGAGATCTGTAGAAGTCAACTGTATTTACCAAGCTGGCCATTGTAAAAATAAAATGAAAACAAGAAATAAAATTACCCTGACCTGTACTTTTTGATTTTAATTAGGCTCTGGAAGTCACAGTGAGACATTTGAGGAAATGTAAGGAGACGACTGAACAGAAGCTGAAAGAAGCCAGTATAGAATCCGAACAAGTAGGTTGCAGAAGCAGAGGAGAAAAGAGCTGGGCTTGTAGTATTTGGCTGAGTGGCGTTGGGCTCCTTGGTTTAGTAACACTATGAAACCAGGGGAGATGCTGAAACCTGGGGCAACCACTCTTATTCACTGTCTTATCCCTTGACAAACATTAGAGATGATACGGCGTCTTTGGAGCTGACTTGCAATTTGGTAAAATCACTGACATTGTGTCAGTATAATGTGGCGAGTATTTCACTTGAAGGGCCAACAGTGGTGGCACATGGTAGAAGATGGTAGCTCAGCATGATAGCTGTGAACTTTTCATTGTAGGAATACAGATGGAATTTGTATTTTAGTGTAATTAAGATGTGGCATCTTAATCCCCTATACCTTGCGCCTCACAGTGCAATGCTGCATCTAATTCTAGTTCTCTTCTTGGCTGCTCTGTATACTACTGCAGGGTTTCTTAGGAGTTACTCGTATAATCTTGACAATACAAAGTGTGATTTACTCAGCTGAGTACCTTTTGAACAGATAGCCACAATACTACACAATGCAGTTTTTTACAAAGTGAAATCTCTCGTACACACCTCTGCTCAATCATGTTGATTTCATAAATGACTACAACTGTTTTGGTGATGAAGTGGAAAATAAATAATAGTGGGACACAGAGCTGAGACGAGCGGAAAGACTGTTGACACAAGAGGTCCTAGCATGCAATTGTGTTGTTGAGGAATGCAATACAAACTGGAATGTGCATCCAACAAAGGCAGTACCCTCAGATTAGGGAAGAGTTGACAGGGAGGGTGTAGTATCTTTTTGTTGTTTAGTTAAGTCGTGTCCGACTCTTCATGACCCCATGGACCAGAGCACGCCAGGCCCTCCTGTCTTCCACTGCCTCCCGGAGTTGGGCCAAATTCATGTTGGTCGCTTCGATGACACTGTCCAACCATCTCGTCCTCTGTCGTCCCCTTCTCTTGCCTTCACACTTTCCCGCAGAACCACATGCACAGAACCACTGTGTAGCCAACAGTGGCAGAAAGACCTAGTTCCTTGTGTCTGCTCTGGCTGAGAACATGGGACGGTACCTCTCTCTTCTTGCCTTCTGGTTTCTCCTCTCTGAGTCCCAGAAGTCTCCCTGGGGGAATTCTACGTGATGGCTGGGACTCAAAAGTCCTAAAATTCTAAAAAACAAACAAACCCCAAAACCCTCCCTAGCTTTTCATTCCGCTTGTAGTCAGCAACACTACATTGATTCTGATCTCTCCTTCCCTACACCAGATAAGTGCTAACCTGGAAGAAGCTCACCGCTGGTTCAAGTCGAAGTTCGACAACCTGCAGCGTGAGCTGGCAAGGAACAGGCAGCAGAAGAGTTCTGTCGAGCGTGAGGAAGAGGAGGTTAGTCGGGCCAGATCTTCATTAAAGAAAAGAGTTGTCACGATATGGAACCGCTTGGGGCCTCCTCCCTCGTGTGTGCGGTGGCTGAGAACATGGGAAGGCACTGTATATTGTGAGCACTTGTGGGTCTCTGGTGTAACTTGCTGTATGGTTGCAGGCAGCCTTACGTTTGCACCACAAAAGACCTTAAGGGTTTGAGAACTTTGAGGGACTGGCTGGAGAATTCACAAGAGATGGGCTCACAGTCTTTTTATTGCCAGTTTGACTATAAGAGCTCTCTCGGGAGAAGCATCCTGGAAAGTGTAAGGCTTCTCTGGCATGGAGGTGCAGCTCCAGTCCGCTGTTCAGATGTCTTCCAAGGGCGTAGTCCTTCCATGACAAAAGAGCCCTGGCATCCTAGTAGGAAGAATAATTTTAATTCCCCTTATCTTTATCAGTTCATTCCTCAAAAACCTTTTGCCTTCACTTCTCCATGTTTTGCTTTCTTTGGTAAGAAGGCTGAGGTGAGAGGACAGTCCCATTCTATCCTTACCTCTGGTAAGCAGTTACAGTTACCTGCTGTTTTCTCTGTCTTGTGTCTGCAATATGAGGATTATAAGGCTGCACATATTAGTAGCAAGCCAGAGCAAGGGAAACTCTAGAGACTGTTGAATTACAACCAGTCCCCTCGCCTCACATATTAGTAGCAAGCCAGAGCAAGGGAGACTCTAGCGACTGTTGAATTACAACCAGTCCCCTGGCCTTATTGCAAAAAAATTATTGAGAAAATGTTTGTGTATCATTAAGTACAAAATTGCTGGAAACGGCTTTCTCTTGCAAAGAAAACCAATATTACAGATTAGGGGCAGAGGGTTTGAGAGAAATATTTCTTGGATTGTGCAAAATTTCTTCAATTTTTGGGACCCAAAGGAACAAGAAAATCAGGTGGAGGCCCCTGGGTTTCAGTCTAAGAAGTGCAGGTGAAGTTCTCCTTGTGGACAAACCCCCACCCTTACAATTCCTTCTGAAGACCAGAGATGGTCCTGGAGGATAGTGTGGGACGTGCTAGGACCCATGCTCTTCTGTAAGCTGAAATGTTTACCCCTCATGTCCTCTCGATCCAACCTACAGGTCTTCCAACTTCCTAGTATCAAACCGACTCCAGAAAACATGGCACAATTGTTTAGATTTCCCCTTTCTTCGTAAAACTATTCTATGACTTTTCTCACTATCAGAGCAGAGGAACATCTGAACCTCCATGTGTTCATTGAACTACGATCATCACCTACCACTTGGGTGTTCTAGTGGGGGCTGATGGGAAGAAGAGTCCAACGATATCTGCAGAGCTCCGGGGGTCTCCAGTCCAGCTCTGGACGACATGTGCAAAGCTTTAATTACCCAAAGTTGTGGATCACAGGCTATTGGCAGATAACTACTTAGAATTGACCAGATTGCTTTATGTTGTTATTTTCTGCTGTATTTGGCCTGAGAAATCCCAGCTCTAATTAAACATCCTGCCTTCACAGGAAAGGCCGGTCAGACTCCCTAGCCAGGCGTGTTTGAAGCGCTGGGAAACAAAGAATCAGCTGAAGTTCATCTCCAGGAAATACCTAAATGAGCTCAACGAGTGATGGATTCCTGCTGCAGGAGGTTCCAGGCTACAAGAGGTGACTCTGTACCTGTGAACACCACTTCTCAAACCAAGGGCTGCTCTGTGCTGCCAAGTGGTACTCAGAGGAGCCTAAAGCTGGGCCTTCTCAAAATGTGAGCATCTGCACAGGTACTGAAGCTACCTACCAGCACAGATCTTCCCTGTACTAATCCGATTTCTGCTATATTAATGAAGAAAAATCCTTCTCAAAAAATAGAAAAAAAGTAATATATATGCAAACTGGCCGGCCTCTTGGAAACCACTACTGTGGTATACCGAGTGTGTGGTTCAACTACTAGCTCTTTAAAAGTTTCAAGTTCTCTTTTATTGAAAAATAATCTAATATATGTTTTAGCACCAAATACCTCCTCCACAGTGAGCCTCTTGAACGGGACAACCTGGTGAGGCCAGACTTCTGTCCATCATTCCCTTCTTGCACCTATTGTGCTTCCAATGACTACCACCAGAAGGGCCCAGTGTATCAAGGCTTTGCGGGTTTTACAAATAGAAGCCCTGAAACTTTGAAACACGTTTCTCTTCTAGAACAGTAATTTCCAACCTTGAGTAACCCAGGCGGTTTTGGACTACAATTCCCAGAAGCCTTCACCACCAGCGGTGCTGCCCGAGATTTCTGGGAATTGCTGTTCAAGCAAACTTAAGGTTACCTGCGGTCGGAAACCAAGGGGTTAGAAGATACTAAGGACATGGCAAGCTCCAGTCCTAATTCTCCCTCTTTGTGCTCTGGTTCACTTTGCACAGACCATCAACAGAGTCAGCACGGACCGGAATTCCTTTCCTGAAAGGATGGCTCCGAGTCTGTTTATGATGATTTCTGCCATAAATTGCAGTGGCAAGAGAAAATACAGCACTAGCTGAAAAGCTTCCCCTCTATTCAATGATTAAATCATGAATTAGTCCCCTTTGAAATGATCTCCTCCCACTTCTGTCTCCTCTCTCATTACTTAATTTGTGAAGTTGTTATATATGTGAGTGCCTTAATGTGAGTGTTCCTTATCAGATGAGAAAGCAAACAAACTGCTATCAAAGTAATTTATATCATTGATGACATTCTTATTTATATATGAAAAACAGTAAGTGAATAGTTCATTTTAAAATCATTTATTTAAACTGGTACAGCAGCCGACAGAAGAACAAAGCCAGAAAACATTTGCTTGGGCCTTCAAAAGCTCTAGTGGGTTTGCTCCAGAATTACTAAAAGTACTGGTCTGAACTGCTGCATTTCAACACAAATCCTAGCAGAGAATGTTCTGTACTTGTGACCTCTTTCCTCTATTCTGGATTTTTATAGGATACTATTTAACTGTGATGTATACTTAACTAAAATTTTAACCAGGACTATACTTTCTGTTTTACAAATCTGCTTCTTTAGCAGTAATGAATGGATTCAGATGTAGTTTTGCATGCTTTTGTGTATAAAGTAGTACAAACATTACAACAAACCTGTAAATGTAATTGCAGCAACTCTCCACACCTGATAGAACAGCTTGTTTCTTGCAACCGATCTTAAGCAAATAATTTCTTTTATACTGCATGTAAATGTAATTGCAGCAACTCTCCACACTTGATAGAACAGCTTTTTTCTTGCAACCGATCTTAAGCAAGTACTTTCATACTGCTTGAGCTAAGAACATGAGGAAGGGGCTTATGCCATGTCTGATAAAGGCTGTGTAAATGTCAATTTTATGTAAATTTTGGGGTATGAATGGCAAACCTAAGTAAGTCCAGGAATAGCCCTACATGTCCCTTCTGTGTGATCTCCTAGAAAGCTGGAAGGTATTCTGGCAAGTATAACGTGGCAAGCACTATGGTAGAGTACTTCCTAGCTTGTCTACCTCCCTTTGATTTGTCGTTCTCAAAAAAGTGAGAAAATGGGGAGAGCTGGCAGATAACCACCCTGTGAGTAGATGTAATAAATGAACGATTCAGCAGCCACTAACCCACAAGTGCTTTCTTTCCGTTTGCAAAATAAACAGGCAGAGACATGCAGGGTCTGGGGGAACCCAAGAATCACAGTTTCAACAGAGGAACCACCAACCAAAGCAGGAGCTACATGTGTTTGACATCCATGGAAATAATCATCCGCTCTAACACCACCAAATATGTAAAAAGCTGAATTTGGTCCTAGACGCCAGAATCCTGCAAACGTACCAGCTATGGTTTTTACAATATTCTGAGTAAATTTCAAAATCGTGGTGTGCTTAAATGCTTTGAATGTTCCTGGCTTCCATGAAGCGGTGTGGTTTATTCAGCTGAGATTTTTTTCCCCTAGGGTTAGGAATGCTGCATATAGGTCAGGGCTGCCCGGTCAGGAATGTTCTTGGCAAAGTCTGCCTGGTCTAATTGGAGTGCTTCCCATTCAACCAATGAAAAGCGAAACCTGAGCACTTGTGATGATTGTAAGTGATGTGGTTCCAGACATCAGAGGGTTCTCCTTTGGCACTTCCTCGAGTGTCCCAGTTCGTGTCAACAGGATGTCCTCCTCCCTTGAAAGCAACCAAAACAAACCATACTCGTGCTCGTCCCCACTGGTTTTTGATCCCAGCACTCTCGTCACACAATAACGTGTGTATACAACAGTTTCCGAGCCATTCTGATATTTCCGCTGCTCTGATAGATGAGTGACAAGTTGAAGCCAATATCTCTCCGCAGATCTGTCTGGTCAGTTTCTATTCCCTGATTTGGGGAAAGAAAAACAATGCATCTGTCACACAAAGTAAAACACAGCATAGAAACTATTAAGGCTGCAGTTTTATCCCTGACATTCTGGCTAGGTTTTGACTTATTTTGTCAGGCAACTTTGCTTTAAAACACCGCCATTTTTCCTGCTGGGGTTTCAGAGGCTATTTCCTCTAGAATTAAATTCTGCCATCGTCATTATTGGTACTGCATTTTTTAAAAAGGTCAAAAAATTATATTCCTGCCCAAGTTTATTCTGTTTTGCTGACAGAAACTATTAAATAACAGGTCAGTAGGCCTCACGATGGCTAGAAAACGCTATATGTAAACTGGGCTCAGTGATCATTTAACTAAAGCTCAGTGGTGGAGTTGGGTTTGGCAAAGACCATACCATGGAAAGCACAAAACTAATTCTGAAGATACAGGATCTGAGTCCAAAGGCTAGCTCTCAACACGTGGGTGGGGAGACTATGTTAAAACATTGCAAGTGTGGCTCAGAAGGTCTGTGGTTTAAAGGGAATACTGTCTGCCGGGTGATATTTCTATACTCTACCTCTACAACCAGTGGAGGAAACTCCAGTGCTTTTTGATAGTAGTGAATGGCCAGATGTACCAATCCCAGTTGGTGAAGGCCGCGGCCTAAGTTGTAGAAAGATTCTTGACAGGAACCACGGAGGTTCAGGTACCGCTGAAGGAACGAGAAGCCCTGGGTACAAAGGAGAGGAGGGATGCGATAATATGAAAAAAAATCAGCCATTGCAACTGAAAGGACACTATTAAACGCAGAACCATTGTTATCCCCATTAAATTTACCGAAATCTCTTCCATCATCTTCAATAAGGAGCAGGAGAATGAAAGGCTGAACTAAAGATGGCAATTCCCAGTTCAGCAATTGGGTTGCCGGCCAATGATTTTAAGCTAAAAGTTTCAAGACAAGATAGTTGGAAACAGTTTCCAAAAGTAACATTTCCACCTAAATAGCGTCACAGCGCTCACCTAATAGAACCTAGGCTGTATATAATAGTCCACCATTAGGGAAACTGTCAAAATCAGGGCACAGTCATACAGTGATGTCAAGTGGGTGGGAGGCGAAGACAATCGGGAAAACAACATTGTCAATCTGGCCATTAAGTCTGCTTTATCCTTAGTCATCTTCTTGAAAGACCTAATAAGTGCAGTTTTAAAGACAGACATCATCTCTCTGCCCTCACCATATCTGTCTCCACTGGCAGTTATTTTTTTTTTGAAAATAAAGTAAAAGAACATGGACAGAAAGTAATCTCCTATTTCTTCCACCATATGGGAATATGATTAAGCGCAGAAGACTCCCTGAACAGCATCAAAATGCTGGGCTAATAGGACTTTAGGTCATCCCCTCCTTCCTTTTCGCCTTCCATTTCCTCTAAATCCCATCATACAACTGTAAGAAAAGGAGCTTAATAGGGCCTAATTATCTTCATCCCCACTGTCGAGGAGCTGCAAATAATACTTATTCTGCTAGAAGAATAAGAGGTTATCCAGAGTGAAATTCATCTCAGTAATTTCAGGAGCGTTGTTACCTCCAAATGTAAAGACTAATGGAAGAAAACAGGAGTGGACTAATCATGACCCATCATGAGAGGGGGGAGGGAGACATGATAATGTGCAGAACTAGCAGAGAAGCATTTGGTTTTACCGATAAGATCTGTCCTCTTTGAGGACGCAGTTAAGGCTGTGTGGGACAATTTTGGCTCAACATAAACATACAGTATATTATTTTATTGGTTTTATACATTGTTCTATTTGATGTAGACCTGCAGGCTGCATGTGGCCCAGGATGGCTATGAATGCGGCCCAACACAAAGTCGTAAACTTAATTAAAACATTATGAGATTTTTTTTTGTAATTGCGCGATTCTCAAGTGTGAACTTTGTAGATGACAATGTTGTGTCGCTATGTCACATAAAATAAATATGTATGCTTTTGCCATTTATACGCATCTACGGCTTCAGTTTTATGGCAGTGTGCGGCTTCCAGTGTGTTTTTCCTCAAGCGCAGTCAAATTGACAGCATCAGACAACATCGTGCAAATCATCATCAAGACTGTGAATTCCATAAGGGCCAAGGGATCGATCTCCAATTCCAGGAATTCCTGAAAAGTTTTGATGCTAATTATGGTGACATTATTTATTTTTCGGAAGTAAGATAGTTAAGTCAAGGCCAGATGTTGAAATGATTCTATGATTTGTGTCATGTTATCAAGTCATTTATGGTTTCAAAAACAAAAGTTGTGCCAGAACTTGATGATGAAAACTGACTTACAGATTTAGCATTTTTAGTGGATTTAACCCCTCATTTAAATGAGTTAAGCATCTGTCTTCAAGGTGAAAACCAACATATCAATACAATGTTTCAAACCATAACCACAGAAGGGCTTTGTGTTGTGTAAAGCAGGACACAGGCTGTTTTCAGTCACCTTGACTGGCCCAGAAAGTTTGTGTTCATATCACTTCAAAATCATGTGGACATTAAAAAAGGGTTTGACTAGCTATAACCAGATTTTGTGGGTGTTTTGGGTGTGTTTTTTTTTAATCTGCCAGTAAAATTGACACCTGCTAGCATGGACAAGCTTCTACTGATTTTTTTTCTTGCCATATTCAAGAAGTGTGCATACCAAGCCAAAACTAATCTACTCAGAAATAAATTCCACAGAATCCTTTGGAAATGATTTCCCAGTAGGTATGAACAGAACTGCAGCTTTATCACTGCAGCATTTAAAGTAAGCAGATTAAAGTTTCCCCATGTAAAAGGAAAAAGACAGCTGATTGGACATTGATAAAAAGAATAAAAGCTCTTACAGACATAAGAAAAAGAAGATGCCCCAGTCAGTATATTAGCACCTTCAACACAATTGCTGAAGTAACAACAAATTGACAAAAAGCTCAAGTTAATTTGATAAAACGCAGAAGAAAATATATTCTGGTTGCTCTCGTCTTTCATAGAAAAAAGGCAAATGGGGGGAAGCAAATAAAAAAGAAATGTCACAAGTTATTTGCCTATTATGTCATCTAATGCATTATGCAGCCTCATTGCACCCATCCACACATTTTCCACAGCGAGCCAATTAGCCAACACGCAATAGCCACCCTAGGGCATCTTTTTTTTTTAAACAATCTCCATTAAAGCAATAACAATCTCTAATGTCTTCCAGTTAGGCAACATAATACTTTATCGGCTCTCAGCAAGGAATACCACAGGGACAGCCACCTACAAGTTTTGCAGATTAAAAACTCCAGATCCTGAACAGTAGCTGTATGGGACTGGATTCCTGACAACTCACCTGTACTATGAGAGCATGTCGTTTTAGCACGTACTTCTGAGAGGCCATGTGGATGAAAGTCAAGCCTATACAAAGACTATAGAGGGGTTCCTCTGGGTTACTCCGAAAAGCTTGCACGTACTGCCCTAGGAGGAAGCAAACAAAGGCTTTGGAATTTTATTTACCAAAGCATTTCTCTTGCTAAGATACCTTTCAAACAGATTGACAACAGGAGACAGTAAATATATACACATGTAACAATTTCCTATAGCATTCTACCTAATTCCTTGTATACTTGCAGAGTTTTGACTTACTGAAAATAAACATAAACACCCTCCTATACATTTTTAAGCATGCATTGCCGGGCTGCAGCTTTCTAATTTCTAAAATTTTCTTTCTATATCCTCTTTTCTTCCCTAGCCTGGTACCTGCCAGATGTTATTGAGGACAACCCCAATCAACCCCAGCAGCACAACCATTAACCATGACAACCACTGGCCACAGATCTATAACCTTAACCCATTTGGATAATACCATCTTGGAAAAGTGGCTGAGGGTTCTGTCACCTACAAGAACCATGCCTACAAACGAGGAGTTGTACTTACCAGCCTTGCTTCATCCTGTTTCAGTTCACTCTTCTTTCACTCATGTAGCAAGGCCAACCACATCATCTTTTGTCTAACAACTTAAGAGTTGTTGCAACAGGTTACAAGGCTTTGTGGGATTTTATGGGATGCCAGCCTAACAGGGAATCAGTTTGTAAAACTTCAAGCCTTGGTACGGATGAAAATAGCACCTCTCAGTGGGCAAGAGCTTCAGAGGTACAGCCACAGACCTTAGTCCTCTTGAACAGTTCTAGGGTCCTGCAGGTAGGCATAGAGCCAGGTTTGGATGTCCAGACTAAGGTCCAAGACCCCACAAAATTGGGGGAGCATCTAAGACACGGGCATCTAAGGAGAGGTTTTGCAGGACTATTACATGCAGAGTCTAAAACTGCTTAACTGCACCAGGATTTACTTTAGAGTTATTATCAATCTATTTGCACTATGAGCAACATGCAGGAACATTCAGGAAACTCAACATAAATACATTTTCAGAGGCCCTGCTACTGATGTTTAGGGAATCATAGTAAGGCTTACCAAGAGCATGTTTGAAACTTCCAGACACAAAAGCATTGTGGCCATTCAAGACACAGAGTGCATGATTGTCAGGGTTCTTCAGCATTAATCGAAGGCAGAAGCGATGGTGCCGAACATCTTGTGAATGCATGGTGATTTGATTGAAGATATTCCAAAGCTGAGGCTTACTGACATGCTCCATTACCATAATCCTATGGAAGAAGCAGGTACCCATCAGACTGCGTGCCATGAATGAAAACACCGTTCTGTGTTCACTGGTTCAGACACATGCCAAACAATCAGTGTGATAAAGGAAGTCGACACGTGCTCCTTCCTTTCACCATCCTCTTAATGTAACCTGTGATGCATGGGCTGTATCTGCATCTCTGTCCCCACCACACCTGCAGCCTTGCATGGTATCAATTTAGGCACCCTACTCAATATGAACTGAGTATTCTCTTACTTCAGTGCACATTAACGTGCTGCTTGGATATTATCTGCCACCTGGGTGAAGCAAGCAGGACAATAGCATGAATTACTGGGGAATGTCTGGCGAGCACTTTGAACAACCTCAAGGTACTACATAGGTCTTTAACCACGCAATCCATAAAATCATCAGAGAAGGCAATTTTAATATGGGAAACTTTTGTAGCAATAACATCACCAAGCATGTTCCTTCTGCCTGGATATAAAGGAAGCAAAGGAAGTTTTACAACTCACTAATTATTACTACTATGAGCATAAATGTCTACATTTACACTAACCCTCTCAATATGCTGCCTACCTCTGTCCCCACAGGAGGAGGAGTGGGGACGATGCACAATAGAAACTAAAGAAGGTCCAACTACAGGGCAGGATATGTTTCAAACTACAGAAGGTCATTACTGAGGGTACTGACGTGAGTTTCCTCCTTCAACCTAAGATAGACTTTCTGGGCAACTGACCTGATGTAATTGTACGCTTTCCTAAAGTTCCTGTCCAGAATTGCAGCGGAAAGACCAAAGTACTCCAGCTCTTTGCGCTTCTGCCTGTCGTCGTAGAAAGAATAGTATTCCAGAGAGGAGTCCACGAGAAGCTCTGCCTCTTTATACCGTGACAGGTCACACAAAGCGTAGATGGCCTTCAGCAGGAGGTTCCACCAGTCATCCTTGGTCAGCACACTTGTGAGCACCACAAAGATGGCTAGAAGGGAGCCAAAAGTCAAGGATTTACTTCTCTTTGTTTAGAACTCTTACATTCCCACCTATATATTAATATAACTTTCAAAACAAAGCATAAAAATAAAACCAAAGCACTATAAAAAGTACTAATAAAATGATTTGGAAACACACATACATATGTAAGTGTATAGAAGAAAGCAACCTGTAAAACCAAGAAGCATGATTTTTTAAAAAAATCAGCTGTGTGTGTATGCACAGGACTGTGTGTATGTATTTGTGTCTGTGTGGCACATGCATGCACACTACCTATCTTTCAATCTTACTGAATAAAAGTCAAATCCTCAAGTCTAGCAAAATTCAACAAGTATCAGTTTCAGTAACTTAGCTGGTGTAACTGAGAGAGCACTTTTTAGAAAGGTCACCATAAATACAGAAGATTCTCTTTGTCAAAACCTTTCACAGCAGGAATACACATTTAACAAAGATCTAATATTCAACAGGTGTCATCCGAAGGGCTGCATGCCTTTGTAAAACTTCCAAACTATGCAGAAGCATCATAGTGCAGAGCAGAAATAGAATTAGGATAACGTAACAGAATGTAAGTTGACAACAATGACCCTCCACATGCTCTTGGACTCTTAACTCTTATCATTCCTGGGCAGCACAGCCAATGCTGAGGGATGATGGGATCCATGTTCTGAAAACCATGGACTGCCACAGTTGTCAACCCCTCCGCATTGGAGGTTGGATCCTGTACTGACACCAGAAGTGGGCAGGAGGTAGAATTGGGATTACAGATGGGCATAAATCACCAGTTTGGCCGTTCATGCCAGTTTATCCTTCAGACAAACAGGTGTTCAACGCTTCCCAGCCCTTCTCTGATGGATGCCCACCCAGAGGCAGTGCCCAGAGGAGGCAAGGCAAGAAAGCCAGGGTGCTGCCTCTGAGTGGGGCACCCACTGGAGGAGTTAGGGCTGGGAGGCGCTGAACGCCTGTTGAGCTGAGAAACAAGCCAGCACAAACCGCTGGTTCAGCAGTTTGTGCCCATCCACAGTACAAACCAACCAATATGATTAAGAAGAAAATGTCATCTGGACCATAAGATGTTTTAAATATATCTAGCATTTTAATTTTAAAGCATACATACTTGTTCCTCTGAAGAATGTGGTGTCCTGACTGCTGTTAAAGCTTCAGTTTCTTTGAAGCCTTGCAAATGAAACTGAGATTTTAAATCTGTTTGTTTTACATGTGTGTAATCATTAACACTTTTGTCTGCTGGCAGCTCTTTCTTTGCCATGCTATGGCCACTCCCTTTTTCCACTAGATGAGAAATGGTAGATGCTTCCACAGATTCTGACAAAGAATTCAGTGCTGAGAGAAGCTCTACTGGCAGGGCACTGTTTTCTTCACTTACACAGATATGCACAGAAAAAGTATCATCTTGATATTCCAACATGTCAAGCACTTGGAAAGTCTCAGAATCACTGAGTAATTCCATTAAGTGTTTATCTTCAGTATTTTCAGCCATCTTTCCATTTTCAGTTATACCAAATACCATTGTTTCCACAGATGGGATGACGTCTGCCATGTCTTTGTCATCACTGGTCATCCTGACATTTTCAAAAACTCCTTCCATTTCTTTATCTTTTCGTACTGAATCCTTTGATGATACCTCGGATGCATTCACATTTGAAAGAAGACTTATTTCGGGAGTGTCTTCA